TGAAGCTTCAATTCTAGTTCAAAGTTACAACTTATTGCTCTTTTTGAGGGATTTCGAAAATGCGACTCTAGTCGATTCGATCGGATGATCATCCTTCACTGCGGCTGTGGCGCGGATCATCTGACCCGGACTTTTGGGGGTCGCCCTGGCTAATTCGTAAATATTAGTAAAAATTTTTTAGGGATTCGGGCATAGGCGTTATTTGAAACCATGTATGCTATTTTTAAGGAATACGTACGATTTTTGAACTAATATTTATGCCTAATTATGCTAATAATGTACTATGGGAATTTTGTAACATTGTGACCGATTATAGGAATACCCTACTCAGATTCGTAGTTGTGGTAATTATAATCATTGGAAACACTACTGAAACAAAGCTGTTGAATTTAATGGAAAATATTGTTCTTAAAAAAAATTTCCAAATTACGTTTCTGATGTGTTCAAATTTGTAATTTTAGTGTAACAAAAAAATGCTCCGTGCTGTATGCATTTTCCTAGTATATATTTGTCCTTCAGCCCTTAAGCCGATTTATATTAAATAATTATATATGCATTGCTACAAAGAACTTATCAAAGGCAAATATTGACTGCATTAAAATTTATAATAGATAGTTTTGCTAATTTTAACTAGATATTGTGGCACGTAACCATTTTGTTATCACACTCGAACAAATTAAAATAAATGACGTCACGCGAATGCTATACTCCAAGCAACAAAGGGGTTGTATTAAACTACATAGTTTCAAATTTTATTAAAAAATAAGGATAACTTTAAAAATTTGTAAAATTCCAGAGTAAAAATTATTAAAAAATGATTAATTTTTTTATTCCAACCGTTAAAGTTTTTTTAAAATTATTATATCTATAATTTAGAGTGATCTGGTATAGTTGTATTTTTTTATTTTTATTTTTTTTATAGCTATTCTTTAGTAGAAAATCGTAAAGAACGTACAACGCCTTCCATCGCTCGTTTTTTGGCTCGTTCCTCTGAATCCATGCTCATTACTGTCTGATCTTTTAACCACCTATATAACATAAATTTATATTAATAAATTTCATAAATATGCGCTATAATAAATATAAAATGTAACTACTTTTCGAATAAATTAACCACGTCAGTTGGTCTGAGACGAGAATATTTTTTGTTTCGCAAAGAAGGATCTAGATACTCTTCTACATTATCTGCCCGAAGCAATGTGACAATCTATAATAGTAACAAATATTCGATATCAATAAATCCATAAGTTATTAAACTACAAGAAGTCAATTTTCACCATTAACATTAATTATACCTGTCTCAATTCTAAAAATGCATCAGCAATATTCGGATCCTCGAGTCCACGTGCGAAATTTTCCAAAAATGTGACATCCAAGTCAAAATTCATTATAGCATTAGAGTTAATTCTTTTGACACCTGGGTCCAAAATTAAATCCTACAAATCATAACAATAACAATTTAAACTTTCTATAGAATGTATATTGACACAAAAAAATTATTATATGTACACGAATAGAAGTTGCTAAATGACTTAGGGCGTCAAAATATATAAAAGTTTTGATCGACACCGGTAAATTGTATAATGTGGAGCTGATAAGAGCGCCAAGAAATCCAACCATATCTATAATGAAATTAGTTAAATTTAAGCACTTTTACAATATACTGTATACGCATTCAAACTATATTAACCTTGAAGAAATGGACTTGGATACTTTTGACACGATACTGGTGCCCTAATAATATATTTGTAATATATATAATTCAGATATAATTCGCAATAAATTATAATAAATTATGAGGATAATTCGCAATAAATTATAATAAATTATGAGGATAATTCGCAATAAATTGTGAGAAAAAAAAATCTATATACCAATCATAATCTGCTAATTCCAAAAAGTCATCGATCTTGGAATTAACTAATTCAAATATACGCTTTTCGGCTTTCTTACGTGTCTCTCTAAATTCATCTATTGCAAATAATTTAATATGTCCTCCACGGTGAGAAGATCTTGAAATATATAATATTATCTGTTATAAAGCTGCATTTAATAAAAGACATTCCAATGCAATAATGCGATACCTTTTAGCTTTAAGTAACTTTTCGAGTTCAGTACATGCACCTTCAAAATATTCGAGGTTGATTATGATTTGAACAATTTGTGACATATTAGTACTTTGTAATTTGCCACGTAACGCTCCATCCACATGATCGATAAGAAGATGGTCAAGAGTCTTTCAAAAAGGAAATTCAGGTTTAAATTAAGTCACAAGGAACCATATAGGTATTCCGATAAAGTACATTAATACAAATAAATTATAATGAACCTGTTGGACTATATCATCAATAAAACTGTATCTCTTCGAATCTTCCTCGGCAAATTGATAATATTGATTCACAAAATTTTTAATGTCCAAACAACAGGAAGGGTATGCCTGAGAGAATGGAAGCGTTTTTGGAAATCTAGTGATTGTATAAAATAAGGTAAGTATCAAATCTAGAATAATGAAAATCAATATAATATTTATAGTTGTGTACCCTTGACTAATACGATGATTTTCATTAAACCAACAAGCATCAACCACTGCCTCATATTCTTCACGGAAAGAAACTTGCATTGGCATATAATCATCATCAATAATTGTCTGAAATTCATAAGAAAATATAAAAAATATAAGAAATATAAGAAGGGTAATCACATATGGAAATCAAACGATATACAAGACATTACTTGATGAAAATCTACTGAAAACTTGTGTTTCAGCATGTCAGAATATTTCTGGAAAATGACTCTAACTAAATCTGTAAAACTGTTAATATTATATCCGTAATCCTGTCAATAGGTAATCAAATCAATCAGAATGTATTCAAGTATTGTAGAAAAATGTTTATCAGAAACAGATGAATAAATATCTACCTCTAATGTCTGAATGAACGTAAATAAGCTAAACTTGATTTGCTTAAATAATTCAGGATCACGGCAATCATCTAAACTTTCAGCCACAGTTTTGACAACTCTTGCTATTACTGTATCCCATAAATGATCTACTTCTGCTCGTGATCGAAAATTTTGTGTTGAATGCACAATAACATGCTCAATGACAAAGAACCCAACAACATCTTGCAGGAAAGCCTCAAAGCCCTTGTCATTATTCTCCCTTAACGTATAAGACTCTGAAAGAACCAAATTTGCTTGGGCCTAATTTTATGACATTAATTAATTAATTGTAATATGAAAGTTAGCTACGCAAAGATAATAAAAAAAGGTCAGGTATAAATTTATGTATGAACCTATTTACCTTTCTATCTTCTTCATAATTTGATTTGAATTCATTAAGTTTCCCAAGCTCTTCATAAATGTGTAAGCATTGATATAATGGTTTAAAATCTATCTGCACTTCTACATTATTTATAATGTTAACTTTTTTCAACGAGTAATATTTTATCAGTGTTAGTAGAACTTAATAGAAAGCACAGTGAATTAAATGTTAAAACACACATTCGTTTTCTTCATTCATTACAATTTCAATCGGAGAACTGACGGGAACAGATCGTAAATCAGGATTCTGAGATACTTTCACTTTCCATCGATCTTGACGCAATCTCATTTGTTCCATAGCTAATTTACCAACTTTTCGCGTCACTTCCCGAACACTAATACATAAAATGAGCATTAATATTATGAAAATAAAATAATTTTAAACTAAAAATCCGTATTTACACACCGAAAAAGCCATTCTTTCATCTCTTTAGTGACGGCATCTTTAACACTATTTTGCATGACAGGTATAGATTCATCTATTTGTATAATTAATATACATAGGATCGAATAAATTATATATAGATGATATTATAATATTAATAATATTAGTAAAAATTTGACATACGCATATGCTTGGCAAATTCATATTGAATAACTTTTCGCAAATGCACAGTCTGTAATTCTTCTAAAGTCTGTACAAAATGAAATAAAATAAAATAAATCAACATTATCTAAAATAATGAATAATGACTATACGATAGTAATATGTACCGAATAATAAGACCTTTTAAAAGTGTAACCTTACCCTCAAAGCAGAATAATATTTTTGCTCTTCAACTAGATAATTAACTCGATTGGCCATATCAAGAACATTTAAACATAATTGTAAAGTCTCCACTGCTTCATCAATATTTTTTTGAATTTTACGCGTTTGGATAAGTTCCTTTTTCTATAAATAATCGAATGGGTTAAAAAATTGATCTATTTTTTTTTAAAAAAAAAAAAAAATTCAAAATTGACAATAATTTATTAATGATAAAGCAAACCTTTGCAGCAACTTTTTTTCCAGATTTTTGAAGATCATAATTCAAATCAATGATCTTATTTTTCAAATTAACGGTTCCTTGTCTAACTTTTAACAATTGATCTACTGAATGTACGAATTCCTACATAAGATGTTAAAAAAAAAGATAAAATTTAAAAAACAACCCGTGAGCTAAACATAAAATAAATATTTGCATAGAGGTACCCACACTGCATTTATGATTTCACACCTGATAATTACTATTACACATCCGCTCGATCTCGCCTTCTTTCTTTCTCACAAAAGTAGCTAACTGTTCAAGGAAAGCTTCTTGTCGTTCTGTGTCATAAATGGATTTTATGATCGGACCGAGTTGTTCGACATTTTCGTTTTCTGAATTCAACTCGGCGGAAAGAACGAGTGAATGTAATTGTTGTTGAGCATGATCAGACATTTTAATTTGCTTGGAAATAATGCGAAAACATTGGAGTATTTTACTCGTTGATAGAAATAGCTTTCTTTTGATTGGTCGATTATTTGCAGTAACATTTCACAAATATCTGCGGGATTATTTTATTAGTACTCGTTACAATCGTTTCCTTGAAAACTTTTAATATTAAACTTTACTAATTAATCGCAAATACATATTTAGCTTTCTAGTATAATAATGTGTAGCAAATTGTATACAGTATATATATTTCGAAAAAAACTATTTTCCGACACTAATTATAATACTATATAAAAAAATAATTAAACTCAAAAATAAAAATGATAGCGCTTCGCTTGATACAAGAAGTTCAAAAACTCGAAAAATACATATTAAAAAGAAAGCTTTAATTAACCAATCACAAAAAGTATCAGAAATATCTTAATCGTAATATGTGTAAGTTCGTAATTACAAAATCGCTTGCGTTATCTTGAATAAATCAAGTTCTTTCAAGATACATTTTCCCTCGGGAACATTTGTTGATCCTTGAAATTAAATCCAAAAAGAATAAGTAATGTTAATCATCATTATTCAAATGTCTGAGTCATAATGACTCGGACACCTTTTGATCAAAATATTTCTAGTTCCGTTGATATCCCTATCTTAATTAGACCGCAAGAACTACATTTAAAAAATTTCGAGCCAAGTTTATAATTGATCAAACCACATCTTCAGCAGGTTTTTGAAATATATTCTTCAGTGCACATAATCAGTTTGCAAAAATTGCGATCATGTTAAAAGCACCCTGACAAATTTTGAGATTTTACATCTAAGCTTGTTTACCAATTCTTGATTTTCAAATTTCGTCAACAAACTTGTCTGTAATTATCACAAATATTTTGTTAATTTCCTGTGGCATTCGTGTTTCTTTGACTATTTTTTGTTTTTCTTTTTCAAGTGGCCTCTGCAGATCACAATGTCGCGTGAGAATCGGAAATTCTATAGGTTTTAAGAATTTTACTGATTTCAAAGAAATATAAATGTAATCGCTCGAAAATATAAAGTAATAGATAATCTAAAATCTCATAAATTTTCTCCGTTCATCAATATCAATTTTTTGAAAAATTTTCAATGATTTTCTGTATGGTATATTAAAATCTTCATTTTTGAGACTTGTTTTTTTTTTAGATAAACTCTGATTGCTTTAATATTGTCACATTTCTTACTTAGTCCAAATATTCTTTGAATTTTATTAAATTATTGTACCATTTGGATTATAACATGCAATGAATGTTCTTGTTCCCAGATCCAAAGATACAATATGCTATTATCAAATCTCCTTTGTTCTAAATTAATAGATATACAGTATATACAAAGACCTCATATGGTTTGTGTATCATAGGTAATTTTTTACTTGTACTTATATGCTCCAAAAGGCAATTTACTATTCTTTCTATTTCAATTTCTTGCTTGAATTGGAATACTTTGGTCAAATTGTTTTTTTTTTTAAACTTACGTAAATTTCATTTTAAGCTTAAATCTTGTTATTTTGTTTTGCAAAAATTGCTTTATAACCTTTTATCAATTTTTGCATAACCCTGTGTGTACATAATTTGAAATATTTATCTATTTTTCTTTAATTGGTTTGAATATATAATTAAATCCAAATATCTGTTATACACGTATATCTATTTTAAAGTTAATCCAATCCAACAATATTTTTTTATTTTAAATTAAAAATTCCTGTTTTCAGATTTAATTATGTTTCATGAGTTTGATAGATTTCCAAATTTAGATATTTTCTATTGCATGTCTCTTGAACATTAAAAGAATTTGTACAGAAAAGCTATAAATTTTGATATGTTCTTAGCAATATCATTCCAAAAACCTGTTTATCTTCAACAACTCTTTTTGAATTATCAAATCATAGATATATATAAATATATATTTAAATGTTAACATGTTATATAAATTAATATCTTTATTTATACATTTTATTATTAACATAATACTGTATATTATCCGGCAGCTTACTATGATAGTGCTTGCCAAATAACTCGAGTTATTTGGCAGTGATTACGTCATCTGCCAAA